TTGGGACACACCTGACACTCTCTCACAGAACTATAAAAGAAGTTTTGATTGACTTTATGAAGCTGTGAAATACACTTTTGCTCTCTTTCTTTATAGCCCCACATTTTTTTACATAGGGAGTATAAAAACGAATATTTGTCAAGTAATTATATGATATGCACTGTGATCCTTACTAGGAAATTATATAACATACATAAAATTAAAAAGTGGTAATTTCTGTAAATATGAAATGACTTGTATACCACAACTAAGTTTTGGAGGCAAACATTTGTTGGGTGTTATGAGTTATTTTTAGGATTTTATATTTTAGAATAGAATAGAATGGAATGGAATAGAATTCTTTATTGGCCAAGTGTGATTGGACACACAAGGAATTTGTCTTTGGTGCATATGCTCTCAGTGTACATAAAGAAAAAATAAAATATATTCGTCAAGAATCATAAGATACAAAACTTAGTGATAGTCATAGGATACTAATAAGTAATCAAATCATACTAGGAAACAATAAAAACAATATAAGTTGTAAAGATACAAGCAACATGGATATAGCCATAAGTGGGAAGAGATAGGTACTGGTATTTTCAGTTCATATTGATTAGAACAGAGGTCTCTAGCCTCTGGGCTATGGCCCATTAGTGGGCAGTGAGGTTTTTTTCAACTGGGCTGCAGATCCCCACTTGCGTGAGCAATGGGCAAGTACAAATGGAGGTGTGTGCATGCGCGCACTTGCCAGCTTCTTGCATGGAACCAACCCCTCTTCCTCCTCCCACTGGTCCACAAAGCTGGAAAGGTTGGGGAACTCTGGACTAGAGCTCAAAACAAAGACTTTCTTTCTAAATTTTGGCTTTAATTCAAGCTTTTGTAATCAAAACCATAGGTAAATCCTCAAGGGCTATTTCTTTTCATGCAAAATTACCTGCATATAATAAGGCTTTGTCCAGTGACTATGGAGCCTTCTGTGGCCTTGTAAATGCAGAACAAAGGGAAACAAAATCAGTTATTTTATATCACCTTCAACACATAATTTATTGTTACAGGAAGTGTAACAAACCTAATCTGTTAAGTCTGTGTGGCTTTATTTAGATGCACTTTCTTGATACTATTTCTGCCTCTTTTGTTTTGGGTTTTTTTTTTTTTTGCTATTGATAATTCTGGAGCTAAGACTACCATCTGGAATTGTTGCTGCTGAATTTGGGTTAAAGTTTGTTGTTTTAATATTACTTTCTATCTCTCTAGAGTGAGATAACTTGAAAATAGTTAGAGAAGAGGCTGCGCATGACAATTTCATACCTGCCTCTCTCAAGCTCCATGTGTCAACCAGAGATCTAAAATGCTGCTAGGCCCAATTTGGCTTCAGTTTGTGTTCAGCTCATCACATGATCAGAGATCATGTGATGAGCTGAACTAATAAAGTAGGATCCTAACTTACTCAGAAATCCAAACTCATATTCAAGAAAATGAAGAACACAATTTGCCTTCAGACCTTTATTTACAAGACAAAAGTCAAATAGAGTGGTAGGAAAAGGGTAAACATGGCTCCTATTTTCTACTGTATTTATTTTTATTTTCAAATTAATATTCATCTGAATCAGAGGTGATATTCAGCAGGTTCTGACCGGTTCTGGAGAACCAGTATGTAAATTTTGAGTAGTTCAGAGGACTGGCAAATACCACCTCTGACTGGAGATTTTACAGTATCCTTCCCCTGCCATGCCCACTAAGCCACGCCCACAGAACCAGTAGTAAAATAATTTGAATCCCACCACTGGTCTGAATACTGTAAGTTGATAAATAAGTTTTATTTTAAAAAAACCCTCCAGGTACTGTATAATCCAGGAAGACAGATTGTGACTTGGCTTTTGCAGTTAACATTTTTCAATTCTTCATATAATTGCATGGGGAATGGAAGAAATTTTATTTTATCATATTTCAGTATCTGGTTTTCTTTTCCAAAGAAATTGGAAGTTGGTATAGGAATTATTTTAAGCAGGGGTGTCAAACTCGTGTCATCATAGTGGTGTCACGTGACATATTGCGACTATTTCCCTTTTGGTAAACCAGACGAGGGCGGGACCAGCATGTGACGCATTCGGCCCATGGGCCGCAAGTTTGACACCCCTGATTTAAAGCCATTTAGAAAAGATAGGCCGTCTTTCCCATAGCTATGATATTTGTTCCTTAATTCTAATGACTCCTCTGCCAGCTGTTTGTTCATTAGCAAGAACATTCTTTGTTGGGGCTTCCGGTTTGTCGGCTTCGCGAGCGGCAGGGATTTGCGAAGCTGCGCGATCCCTGCCGCGCTAGCCGTTTTTGGGGCTCCGACCCAGCCGGGTACGGAGCTAGGCTGCCCTGCAGGGGCAGCTGAAGGTAGGGGGGATCCGGAGAAGGGTTTGGGGGTGCTGCAGACCCCCTCCCTGGCCGGCAGAACCCCCTTTTCCCAGGACGGTGCAGCGGCGGTCCGTAATGGCCGCCACAAAGAAGCTGGCAGCCGGGTAAGAATGCGCAGGAGGAAGTGGAGAAAGTGATTGAGAGGAGAAAGTTTTTCTTGGCTCCTAGGACTCTAAGACATATTTAATAAAATTCCTGAAAAGTATGACTTTTTGAATAATACCTGCCAGAAGAGGAAAAAAGCGGCTGCTTGAAGGTGCTGAAAGGATAGCTTTCCCTCTTTTCCTACGGAATAAATAACTGGATATTAAGAAACCTATTTTTTTAGGTGGAAATTGGTTTTAAGCGATGAGTGGGAAGAGAGAGGATTAAAAAGAAAATATTTGTATGCTAAGATTTGTTGGAGCAGATGCCTTAAGGATTTGAAGACTAGAATATATTGTAACAAGACTTTAAACAGATTTGGACTTTCTTTCTCTTTGATTGATATTACCCCAGAAGGAGAAAGTGAGAACTCTGCCTTGGTTTGGACTGATTGATAACTTTGGGACTGTTTTATCTTTTTTATTTTCCTTTGAATATTCTGGTTGTTGTAAGAAGAAAGAAGGAGAAAAGAAAAGAAAAGATTTATAATGGCTCTTTCTGTTGAGGAACTAAGAAATGGTGTGGAAGAAGCTTTCCTTTTCTTAGAAATGGCGCTTACTAATTATCAACAAAAATTACAACAGATGAAGACAGCAGAGGAACAAGAAAGAAAGGAAGGAGCCATCTTTAATGAATCTCAGAATTTGATCCGGAAAAAAGGAAGAGAGAAAGAAAAGAAAAGAAGAGAAAAGAAGAAAACTAAAGGATTTAAGGACTTAAGATCTAAAAAAACATTTAAGAAAGGGAAAAATAAAGTGCAAAACCAATATGATGATTGTAAACAAAGGGGAAAAGAAATACGACAGAGAAGGGAAGCCGGTAAGGCAGAGGCTAGAAGAAGGGGGGGTAGAAAGGTTTGTTGGGAAAAGAAAGAAAGGGAAAAGGTGGAGAAAAGCTACAACGTTTTGAAATTAAATGGAAAAAAGGAATTTTTTATGGATAATGGATAAAGTATATATATTTTTTTTAAAAAAAGATTTTGCAAGGTACATAAGATGAGATGGTAGTATTGCAATGGTTTAAGAGTTGATAAGAGATTAAAATGTTAAAATGTTTAAAAATGATTGGTTTTAAAACTTAATAATAGGAGAGGTTTAGAATATTGTTTTAATTAAAGAGTTTAATAAAATTATGGTATTGATGTTATTATAAAATTTTTATTATAGTATTTCTTTTTAATATTTGGATTTATTCTCTAATTATGCACTTAATTGTGTTGGATGTATTAGTTAGATAGAATGTACCAAGCAAAATCTGATTGGGTATTAGATATTATTTTAAAGATTAATTTGATTAACTTAGGGGGGAGATAGAAAGGCATCATACTCTGATTAATGATTTCAGGAGAAACTGATTTTCTTTTTTTTCATAAGGGATGAGACAAAGGGATGATAAAAAATGGACAAAAGATACAAATATAATGATTTAAACTAAGATGATTAATTAAGGTAGAATTAAGAAGTGTGAAATATGTGGAGAAGTTAATATAGAAGGCTTAGAATGGTAAATAAAATAAGTAATGATATGTAAGATGAGCATGAATATAATTGAAGTCCATGAAGAGAGAGATACCTGGGTCCAAGTTACTTTCCAAAAAGATATTTTTTTTTATGTTTTGTGTGTTGTGTGTATATGTCTTTTTTGGGGGGAGAATTGGTAAAAACTTGTAGAAATATAGAATGAGAATAATGGTAACTAAGTCAGAAAGAAACAGATGAAATAATAATAATGATATTGAATAAGAGTAAAGAGAAGTAAAGAGAAATTGAATAAGAGGTTTTGGTATATTATATGGAAATGGTTTAAAACAGAATCATAATTTATCTGACTTGTTAAATTTACAAGGGAAAAAGGTTTAAACATGTAATGAATAATGATAATTTGTGTGTTTTAAAAATTAATAAAACTTGTTTTAAAAAAAAAAGAACATTCTTTGTTATCTTGATTTGGAGCCAGAATTCATGCATGTAATTTCTACCCATTTCTTTTTTATTTGCCTTGCAAGAAATTAATTTTAAGCCTGGATTTTTTGGGAAGCTGTTTGATAACAACATAAACGTATTTGTTTCTGCATCTAGAAATAAAATCTATAGATAAGGGATAGTAAGAATGTATTTATTTTGGTTATTATATAGAAGGTAAAGAGTATGTTTACCAAAGGTTTTAGTGGTGATTAATGAAAACCCACAGGAAAGTTTTCACTTGCTAATGCTGAATATTGTATTTCTTTAAAGACACAAGTCCAGCATTCTTTTTTGGGGGGTGGGGTGGGGTGGGGTGGGGTGTATGCTGTAATTCCCAGACCATTAGTGAAAAAGAGGAACTGAACAGAATTTTTAGACCAAAGGTTTGGAAACGTCATACATTGTTATCATGAAAATGGCGTCTTCTATGCATGCTTTGCTTTTGAATGTCTTCTTGAATATGTTCAGTGTGTTGATTCAGAAACTGCTGGAGTTGTTTTAGTGATGCAAACTAAACTGATTTTTTCAATAGGAAACTTATATCAAGACTGGAGAGGAATAGTGATATCAGATACCACAGTTCCATATACGATGCTCAGCAAAGAAGAACATCAAGCAAGATTAAAGGAAATAACGAGAAGGAAAAGATCCAGGGAGGTCTGTAAGATTGATGGATGCAGACACCACTTAAGGAAATTCACTCTGTAACTTTCTATTTTCCTATATAACAATACTTCATTAAATCTTAAAAATTTATCTTAAAGAAAGAAGAAATCCGTATGATCTTACCTACATTATTTTAAAATGTAGAAATATTTACAACCTAAAAGCTATGGCTGGATCGAGCTTCCTATTGGCAGAACAAAGAAAATTTCAGACCTAATCCCCAGTGGTTATGGTGTAACAATGTCAGGCCATATTAGCCTGGCTTGGTAGGAGTTAAATGTGAACATGTGGTTTTTTTAGTGGGGAAAATAGCTTTAAGAAAGAAGTATGCACAAAAAATAAAGATTACAGAATTCACTAGCTTTCTGGCTCCTGCCAAGTTTAAAGAAGTGGGCAATTATTCATGCACTAGTTTAAGTAGTTGGTTTAAGTACTTAGTGTACAAGTGGGAAACATTTCTGCCATATTCTTGAAGGTTGTTGTGTATAACAGAAATTCTGAATTACAGCAATATCTCCATTAATAATTTTAGAAATTTATGAAGTTTATGAGTCAGTGTTAAAATAAGAACATATGCATTTAATCATCCACAGACCATAAATATTCAGTTAGTTACAACCAGCTGCAGCTATGATAGTTCTAAGAAATCTCCCTTGGATTGTTGATATGCAGGTATGGCTCCTGCTGTCATAACTGGTGATGTGATTGAATAAAAATGTGAATTTTCTGTGAAGCGCATTGTCATTGATATTATATTATGAATTGTGATGTGATAATGCACATCGCCCATAATTTTCTATTTCACCTTGGCACTTGTTAATTACCAGAAGTTGTTGCAGTTTCCTAATCTGTGCTAGCTGCAAGGAAAAAAACTGGTGAGGAAGGAATCAATAGTTTTCAAACTTAAAAGAATCATTGTGTCAATATAGATCAGATGAGTGCCTATGAAGGCTATCAAGAGGATAGCCAAGCATCCATTAACTCAGAATTGGAAGAAAAATAAAATTCTAGAATTAGGTCTGTATATGCTTAGACTTTTATAGTCCAGAGTAAATTGATTTTCTGCATTCATAATTTCATTCTAATTGACAGTAAAGGGACTAATCTTTCGGAATCACATCTGGGGCCAGATAAATCAATCCCTGACTAAGGGGTTAAATGTCTGAAAAGCTGAGATTTACAACACTGTCTGTTGTAATACCTGACATTACTCTCTTGTCATGCAAAGGGTTTAGGAAAAACTCTAGACTAAGGAGAAAAAATAAATAAATTGTTTCTCTCATTTCTGAAAATATAAAAACAATTATGACTCAAGTTCCATTTGTAGGTGAAACATCTAAGTTCTTCCTAATGGAATAAAGAAAAATCAGATAGTCATATTAACTCTTCCAGAAATAATTACCGATTGATTACTAAGAAAAAGAAAACTTGGGAGAATCCAGATTGGACAGATTTATTTACGTTTTGAAGATAAAATACTCAGAAATTAATAGTTTCAGCTTTCAAGTTTTCTTCCTCCAAGACCTAAGGAATAACTTCTTCATCTTATCTAATGAAAAATACTGTAATTTCACATTCTGGTATAGCTTTGGAAAACCAAGTAAAATTTTCCACAATTAACTAATGCATTTAATACATTATTAATACAAAAGTTGTCCAATAGTTTTTTTTTTCACATTAGCCCAATAACAACTGATGATGTGGGTGCTTTTTTCACAAATGCAGGCACAGGTAACGTGGCATTTATTTATTTGTTTGTTTGTTTGTTTGTTTATTAGATTTATTTGCTGCCCAGCTTTACTTTGAGGCAACTCTGGGTGGCTTACAACATTAAAAGCTATAAAACTGTAAAATATAAATATTTAAAAAACAATAAATAGGATTAGAATAAAAAATAAAATCACAGTTAAAAGATAAGAAGGGAGGGAGCATAACATACAGCAGGGAGCTGGGATTTTATCTTAATCCATCAACCACTCCTAACATGATAGTCCCGTGATGGCGAATCTATGGCACGTGTGCCAGAAGTGGCATGCAGAGCCCTCTCTGTGGGCACAGGAACCATCACCAGCTGCTTTTCTGGTTTCAGGCGCACCGGCCAGTTGGTCTTTGTGGGCACCACAGTGCCTGAAAACGACCCAAAAAAAACCAAAACAAAAAAACCCAGGCCGTTTTTCAGGCCTGAAAAACAGCCTGAAAACAGCCCCCCAAAACGGCCAAAAAACAGGCTGGTCTTCAGGTTTCTGGAGCTCTGGCATGCACACATGCATGTGCATGCAGGTGTGTTCTGGTTTGGGCACTCGGTGCCAAAAAGGTTTGCCATCATTGTGATAGTCCCTCATTGGGGCCCCAAGCCAACTGGCAGATCCAGGTTTTCAGGGATCAAAAAATCAGAAGAGTGGGAGCAGATCTCACATCGGGGGTAAGATATTCCAAAGGGCAAAAAAGGCTCTTTGCAAAGGTTCTCCTAGCCATGATTATCACCTGCTCTTTGAGCAGGAGTTGTGAGTCCAGGAGAACCACTGAGTTGAAGACTGGGTCTGTCTGGGTTAGTGCAATGCCATCCAGAATTAAGGATGTTAAAGTTCCATATCTTGAAGCTCCATCTGTATATTAAAAACAAAGATTAATTCCCCCTCTGTCCATAATGGACAGATTTTTCCACTACGAAAGGATAAACAATGGACTAATTTTATTTATATTAGTTTATCCCATAATAAATTCACTGGGAACAATCTCCCAGGGTTACTCCCAACCTAATAATCGTGGAATTATTTTAATTCTTATTTCCCATGTTCCTTTCTTTGTAAGAGGATGTACATCTGCTATAAGTGTTCATACGGATATTATGATACATTTGATTTATTTAGTTATAAAAATTGAATTCACATTTAATTATTGACAATACATCTCAGTGTTTCCAATTCCCAAATCAATAATAGTAGATGCATTTGGAATTTCAGTTTCTTAACGGTTACTACAATTGCATCAGTGTGAACATTTGTAATGGGGATTACCATTTCCCTGGGGGAAAAAATCCAAATACTGTATTCTATTAATGCATGATTTGAAAAGCACTTGCCAATGCTGTGATATTTGATTAAGGGTTTATCTAATTTAGAGTGGATAGTTAACTTTGAGTGCTTAAGCAATTGTTTAAATAAGCTCAGTTTAAGAGATAACAGCATATCTTCTGTAAAAAAAATCAGTTAATATACTGAACTTTGCTATTAAGCATTTAAAAGGTTATCTCTTGAGTTGTAATCTTCTAGCTGATACCTGAAAATAGAACCTAATCACTCAGATCTGAAAAGCTATTCATTAAGGTTTATTTAGATAAGTGCTATACATAGCTTTGTTTAGAATAATTCTAAATGGAGTAAATGATTGATAATATAGTATATACTTGGATCATATTCTATTTTTGCAATTATTGCAGATGAAACCTTAAAACGTGCTGATGTAATTGTTCTTTCATTTCTTCTTTAATTTCTGGTAATACTTCCTAATCTTAAGTGTGGGCAGTTACATATTTCTTGCTGCATTTTAAACTGTGGAGACAGAAAGATGCAGTTGGAGTCCTCATACGAGGACCCTATATATTACTAAATATTTCTGGTATTAGCTGAAGATTACCCACAATTATTATGAAAAATTGCAATCCATTTCTTCTTTGCTCTTTCTTTTCTAAAGAAGACACACCATAGTTTGTTAGCTGTGGAAGTAACTCTATTTAAACCATGTCTGACTCATCAGTTTAATTCCACATTTTCCTTAAAATTGAGAGTTCGGAATTACATTTCCTACCACACTTTGAATGCTTGGCTTCAAAGATTGAATCAATCTTCTGATAGTGGGGCCACGGTGCCTCATGTGTTAAGATGGTGGGCCTGCACACCACTGAGGTCGGCGGCTTGATTCCCATGAGTGAATAAAATGCATAGGAACAAGAAAGGATCCTGCCCCGAATGCCTACCAGCATTCAGGCATCCCACAGGTACAGATAATACTGCTCGAAAAAATTCCTTTTACAGAGGCAGAAAGCCACCTCGGTGATTCCTGGCTAACACATACCATATGCAAAAAAATAAAATAAAAAAATCTTCTGATAAGGGCCACTCTATCGGTTATCATACCCAGAACACTTATTTGTCAATAAGCTAGATATCCTTGACATAGCAGTGCTAATGATAACAATAATAATGATAATGAAAAATCAATTCAGTAGTATCACTTCCTGCTTTGTAGTACATTTAACATCACTTGTTTTCCTTAGATGTTGCTGCTACAAAGTTACAAAATAGAGAAACAGCAGATTGGTTCACAGAAACATCAAAGGAAGCCTCCCAGGTATTATTTGTTGAAAACAGTATGTTTTGTTACTTAGATTATTCTCCCCAACTTTGAAAAGCACAGATGTATGTGAAGATGTACAATGTGATTTAATTCAGCTGTTTACATAATACACTAAATTATGGGTTCTACATTTTCTTTTCTTCCCTTCAATTGCATCCAATTCTTGGTCAGGTCCCTGCAGTTTCCTTGGTAAGGTTTTTCAGAAGTGGTTTTTTTCCTTACCTCCTTCCTAGGCCTGGAGAAAGTGACTGGCCAAGGTCATCCAGTTGGCTTTGTGCCTAAGTAGAGGTGGGATTCAAATTTTTTAACAACCAGTTCTATGGGTGTGGCTAGGTGGGCGTGGCCATGTGACTGGGTGGGCTTGGCTTTTTTTGCAGCACCCCCTCCTGGTTTTTTTTGCCTCCTGGGCCTCAGGGAAGCCTCCTGGGGGGGCATTTTTGCTCCCAGGAAACTTCCCTGGAGCCCAGGAAGGCAAAAAAACAGAGTGGGGGGCAGCACAGCACCCTTCTGCACATCCCTTTTTGCCTCCTGGGCCTCAGGGAAGCCTCCTGGATGAAGCAGTAAGACAGCGAGGGGGATCCAGGCACAGCTGATCATTGGAACAGCTGATCGTTGGGAGGGTGAAAAAGAAATATCTTAAGGAGTGAGTGGGCAGGAGAGACCACAGTCAGTGATGTTGGGCATGCGCACAATGTTGTGTGCGCGCGATAAGGACTGTCTGGGCGGGGTGGGGAGGGGTGGGGCTAGGGACATGATTTGCCAGTTCTCCGAACTGCGCAGAATCATAACAGAATCCCACCCCTGTGCCAAGGTGGGATTAGAACTCATGGGTTCTTGATTCTAGCCCGATACCTTAACCGCTACACCAAACTGGCTCTACATATACAGCAGAAAAATATTAAAAGAAGGCCATACAGAAGATCAAGGTCTGTTTAATGTTGTCACAGAATGTAAAAGTAAAGGTAAAGATTTTCCCTGTCCAGCCATGCCCGCCTGTAGAGGGGATGTTCACCTCTGTTTCTTAACCGAGGGAGCTAGCATTGTCCAATGACACTTCCAAGGTCATGTGACTGGCGTGAGCTGAGGGGCATGGAACAAGTTTATCTTCCCACTGAAGTGGCATCTACTAACCTTTGCATGCTTTCAAAAGACTAGTTGGCAGGAGCTGGGGCAGGAACAGGAACTCACCCCGTCACATGGTGCTTGCGTCTTGAACTGTGATTAACAAGCCCAGCATCTTAATTGCTAAGCCACCACATCCACATGACAGAATATAGGACATAGAACAGGGGTCTTCAAACTTGACAGCTTTAAGACTTGTGGACTTCACCTTCAGAATTCCTCCTCCAGTCAAGTTAGCTCAGGAATTCTGGGAGTTGAAGTCCACAAGTGTTAAACTTGCCAAGTTTGAAGACCCTTGACATAGAATAACAGATGAGTTACAACAAGACAGATTCAATTCAAGATGGACTTCCTTTATCAAATTTGATAGTAGAGACATTTATCTAGAGCGGACTGGATTCTTATTCTTCCCTGATGTATTTAGTGAGAGATTGGATGGGGACAGCCATCTGCCAGGAACAATTTAATTTCAGTTCCTGCATGAAGCAGTGGATTGGATTTGATGGCCTCTGTGCCTTTTCTAATTCTACAATTCTGTGAAAACTGTTCCATCTGCTAACTGACAATCCCTCAGATGGTTAAAGGCAGCACTCATACTTCCCATTAACCTTCTTTATTTCTAAACATATCCAGTTGTATTTTTCACTGATTTGGGTTTTGGACTCATTACCAGATTGGATGCTCTCTAGATTGCTGATACCCTTCAAACTCTGTAGTCCAGACTTGCACACAATCCTCCAAAAAAATCGATATATATAAAAGCAAAATACCACTCATGCATCATCACAAAATATCCAGAACCGTAAAGCCTACAAACTTGAAATATTCCTCTTGGCTGCTAGGTGCTCACTAAGAAAGGATTTTTCAAAATGACCATCAGAAAGAACATTTGTTTTTCGTATATTATTATTAACACACTCTGATGCTATGGAATTCTACTCCCCCTTGCTACCTGAAAAGAAATCTCTTCCAAATGCAAAACACAAGCAGAGGAGAGGAGTTTTAGTTTTAGTTTTAATTTCACAGCAGCAACCAGCTTTAGTACAGAACAGTTGACTAAGCCACGCCCAGGCTCCTTGCTGTCTCCTTCTTGCTCACACAGAAAATACTGTTTCAGTTTCCAAACATCCCTCAACTCTTTCACACACTGATAGGATGCTAGCCTACTAATGGATTCTGGTAGGCAGCGGCAGAATTTCCCCCCCTTATTTTCTTCCCCCAAAACTAAGCCTGACCACATAGTTTCGTAGTGAAGCATGGGTATCGAGCTAGTATAAGGTAAGATAAAAAAGAAAGACTATAATACAGTGGTATCTTAGCACTCTTCCAGGAGGTGCAATAGATACAAAAAAAGATGGGTACCAAACAAATTTTTCCCATAAGGAAAAATGTAGTGGGTCATAAGGCTGCTGACATCAACAAATTCTAGCTTGTGCATCAAACACCAAACTATGATGTGTACCAGGACAAATTTTCATGTCAAAATGCATCAAAAAATCAAATTCAATGAGTTTCAAAGCAGTTGAGTACTAAGGTATCACTGTACAATGTAATATAAAATATTTAAAAACTATATCTATATCTATCTATATAATGTTACACAATTGACTAGTTTTGTTAAGATGGAGGCATGTCCAGTCCCCAGCATGATACTTAAACGCGATGCTAAGTGTAATGCAGTTTCTGTATAATCCACTTAAACTGTCAACAGTAGGGTTCATATTAAGCCAAACTATATCAATTCACCTGATGGCATATATTATTTATAGGTTGTGTCAATATATAGTTTAGTCCTAGGATAATGAGTTTCTTAAATTAATTTGTATTGAATTTGATCATGTTGGCTGAGATGTATTGGACAACTATTTTGTATATGGCAGCTCTAGCCAGCTCTTGTCCATATTGATTGGAGATATTGTAGAGAAGAGCTGGATCAGCTTATGGTAGCCAAAATCCAAATGTGCCTGACAGCATCGTTTCAGACTAATACATTTGATTAAAAGGCATAAGGTTCTGTGAACTACAACTCATTCTATCAGCTGAGTGGGTGGCAAAATTGATGTAAGATTTAAACTGAGATAAACTGGAAAGGAAAAAAAAGGGGAGGAAATCAGTGGTAATGCAGGTGTAAATTACACGTGAGACAAATTGTAAGTACATTATTAATTAACAAATGTAACACGTTCAAATCAAATCAAGTTTTTATTACTGTCATAGACCAGTATATTATGCAATGTTGTAAAAAAAAAAAAACACTGTTTGCTGAGACTTCTGTGATAGTGAAAGCTTTTGATATATGTGAATTCAGCAGCCTCTCATTTAATTTTGCTGGTAAAGTTTCTTTGTTCCAAATAGCTACTTTGAGATTTGTAGTGGTGTCCTGGGATGTTAAAATACTCTGATATGAATTTGACCTTATTTTGAGTCCTGGTGTCAAACTTGTCCATTAATTATTTTGTGCAAAGTCTGATCTGTTTGTCCTACAGAACATTCAGAGGGCACTGGTGACAAATGATGGCATACATCACGTGAGGGAAGGACATGGGAAAACGTTTCTAAACTTAGTGTGAAATTGTTGAGGCCTGTGATGATGCTGTTGGTGTAAACATGATGCAAAATAGATATCTGGCTTTGTTTGAGAGTCCCATGTTAGTATTATTGGTGTATTTTTTTTTCTATTGTGATTTTGTGAAAATCTACTCCAGGTTGGGTGGCTGAACATATGAAATGGTGAGCCTGCTAGCTTGAGCTTGAGAAAGTGCAGTGTCATTATTATCCAGGATGGGTTATAGCTTACAGATAGTCCTGGCCTTAATTGGGACCCTAATTTTTATTGCTATGCAAGGTCGTTGTTAAGTGAGATGCCCAATTTTACAAATATTTTTCCTAAGTGAATCATTGCAGTTAACAAATCTGGCTTCTCACATTGACTTGTCAGAAGCTGGCTGGGAAGGCCAATGTCAATCACATGACCTTGGGACCCTGCAACCATTGTAAATCTACGCTGTTGCCAAGCATCTGAATTTTGATCATGTGACTGTGGGGTAGCTGTGACAATCATAATTGTGAGGTCTTGTTGTAAGTCAGCATTTTTCAGTCCCATTGTAACTTCGAATGATTACCAAATAAATGGTGGTAAGTCAATGACTACCTGTAGCTTGAATTGGGAGCTGTAAAAATCATTAAATGCAGGATGTTCTAAACCCTACAGGCACTCAGTTTTGTCAGATTGAAGTGATTCTTCTCCACTCATACCAGTACATCCAGGGATGGGCTGCTGGGGGGGGGGGGTCCACAGGGGTTCGGGAGAGTCCCTAGCTAAGATTCTGTACAGTTTGGAGAACCCCCAAATCCCACTCCTGGCTGGCCCTGCTCACCCCACCCCTCCTAGGACTCCCCGGGTGGTCCGCCTTGGATGCAGGTAAGTACAGGGTGTGCACAAAGGCTCGGGGAGGGCGAAAAACGGGCCTCCCAGAAGTTTGGGAAGGCTGGAAATGGGCCTGTTTCTGGCTTCCAGAAAGCCTCCGGAGCCCAGGGAGGCCCTTTTTGCCCTCCCGGAGGCTCAAGGAAAGTCTCCGGAGCCCAGGGAGATTAAAAAATGCCCTTCCCACCATGGTTCAGGAGGCCAACTAGGCCAACTAGGCCACCATGGCCATGCCCACCCAACAACTGGGCAGAGAACCCTTTGCTAAAATGTTTGAAGCCCGCCCCTGAGTACATCCCCTAAGTACTGGGAAAGCATCTTTACAACATCGCTAGGATGGCCCAGGGCCAAAAAGTATAACTGAGTATCATTACCATATTTCTGGTAATTGACCTCATGCTGTCAAAAGATTTCATGCAATGATTTTATGTGTATTTTAAACAGGATCCAAACCTCTTTGAAGCTGCAAACCTACCATATTCTCAACAACCTTCTTTAAAAAGGAAACACTGGATGAGACTTACTTGATTAAAGTGTCTGAATGGAATCGGTTTGCCAATTTTGAAATACTCACTTTCAGCACCTGTATTTTAATTCCCTGAATTGAAGAAGGACAGGGGGTCATAATCATAAAATTATATTAGAATCCAAATCCCCATATTTTTTTAAAAAAATATGCAATGTCAGATTTTATTGAATCTCTATTGTTAGCTAAGGGACACTGGAAGAGGGGATAAGAAAAGAGAGATACCATATGTACAAACTTTATTAAAATCTGGCAGTCTTCATGATCTTCTTATAAAAGGCTGGACTACCTACAAGCAGCAAGAAAGATATATAGCATATGTTTCATAGACTCTCCCATCCCTTCACTATCTATTTCAGTCTTACTGTTCTGAATATTGCATTATATTTAGCACAAATGTATATGCATTTTTGCTATGCAACTGCAGTTCATAAATAAATCACCTATTATCTGTTTGAGATCTCTAACAGTTTGCTGCTAATCCTCAATGGATTAATATGCTTTCAGTGATCATCCTTTCACCTGTTGAAGTTCAAAGATACTTAATCACTAAAGTTAGTACTTCATAGAATTTCCAGTAAAATGGTACCGTCTTCCATCTTTAATAGAACAATATAAATATTCTATGCCATTTGTCTGGCTCTTAATAGCTGTACATCTCAGCAAATGACAACTTGTTCCATGTGTAGTCATAACATTCATATCAAGAATGATTTTCTTTTACTTTTTTTTTTAGAATAATGGGCAGCATATTTATAGTTAGTCATTAACTAGTGTATCTAATATTAAAGTTATGAGCAGCAGGGAAGTGAGACACATAAAAGAATATTTGTAGCTCAAGGTTGAACTGTGGGGTCCTTGATGCTCTCTGAACTTGGCTGTTTTCTTGCAGAAATTTCATTAGTAAAATAGGCAACATGATACATCATTAGTTCTAGTAGGGAATTGAGTTTTTATGCATCCAAATTCATGTTCTGCCCCCTGTTGTCCATTATCTTGAAGCAACTTTTGACAAAAAAAAAGAGGCAGCAAAAGACATAGTTAAAAAAACAACCACCAAAAGTAGGGTCTTATGGTATCAATGAACATAACACATTCTGCTTCAAGGTCACTATGCATTAAGCAGCTGGCTCTTGGCTCTGTTGATTAGTACTTCAGCCAAAGGCAAATTGCCATTACACAAGAACTAAATTTGGGCAGAATAATTTGGACATGTTAGAGGAAATAGAATACTTGCTTTGAGATAATTTAACTTGGTAGGGGATTGGGTTCAGAAGAAGCATACATCTGATTTTGAACTTGGCAACTCCTTCAATTGGTTTAGACACATATTTTCAACTCAGAACCAATTTGGCTTTTAAAACAGCCAAAACAAATTTCTCTTAATCACTTCCAACCTGTTAGCAGATGGGTAAACAGCTTTTTTTTTAAATAACTGGGGCCAACAAAATACTTTAGTATCAGCCAGAAATAATTAGTGGCAATAGATAAAATGTATAATTCAAGATTAGATAGATAGATAGATAGATAGATAGATAGATAGATAGATAGATAGATAGATAGATAGATAGATAATAGATAGGCAGGCAGGCAGGCATATAAACTGTTATTATACATATTACAGGAGTGTTATCACAGCAATTACCCTCTAGTTAATGAGTTGTAAGATTTTGAAAAAAGATTTGCTTTGCCAGTGGAATAAGAAATATAGCAGAAAAATACAGTAACTAATGTACAAGAATACTATATTAGCACAACTGTATCCTTGGCAAGTATGTATACATAGAACAGCTTATTTGTTGAGTGTGGGTGGAATGTAGACTGCACATAGAGCACAGCTATGTCAAACATATCAGTCTCAAGATTCATACAGTAGGAGTCTTGACTCCTCTTTATTCAAATGATATTGGAAAGGTTTTACATTTGAAACATTTTGGTGTGAAATAGATCATTCTAAGACTAGAATTTCCAAGCTTGAAATTGATTTGTGATAAGATCAGAAAACCTTTAATTTTGTTTAACCAATTTAAATAACCAATATATACTGCACTTGGATACAGAATAAATAGTAGTAAGCAATGAAAAACGTAATGAAACGAAGTGATGATGATTATGTTATCCATTTAGTCGTGTCTGATTCTTGGTAATTTTATGGGCCAGGCCTTTCAAAAATCTCCGATCTTCTTTCTTTGTTGTGGCTTGAGTCAGCTTTGATGGTATCCAGCCATCATGTTCTTTGATTGCCTGGTTTCCTTTTACTGTTAACTCTTCCAAACATAATTGCTTTGTTCAATGAACTTCCCTGCATGACATGGCCAAAGTAAGTGAGATGCAGTATCTTGATTTTGCCTTCTAGTGATGTCTGGTGTTATGCGCTCTAGCACTTGCTTGTTAGTCACTCTTACTGTCCAAGGAATACGTAGGAGCCTTCTCCATCACCACAGCTCAAACGAGTTGATTTTCTTCCTGTATTGCTTTTTTGAAGTTCAGCTTTCACAATTATACGTGGCTATGGAGAACACAATAAAGCAGTGCCAGGCTAATGTCTGTCCTTTTTCATATTTGGCTCATGTCATCATTGCTGAAGCCAGGGCAATCTGCTGCCTTCTGAGCTTTGAGCTATCTGCAATCCTAGGAAAGTCAATTTTTCTTCGCTGTCAATGTTGATGTTTCCATACCTTGCAGTGATCATGAGCTTGGCCTTTTTGATGTTCAGAAAGAAATCAAAATTCTCCGATACTTTCTTCTTTGATTTTCTTGATCAGATGTTCCAAGCTTTCTTTGGTTTATGAGAGAAAAGTTATATCAAGATTGTTGATGTTTCTTCCACCAAACTTGACCCCAATTTTTGATTCTTCAAGATCTAGCTTCCTCATGATCATTCTAGCATATACTGTAGATTGAATAAGAAAGGGGACAGAATGCAACCTTGTTACACTCCTTTCTGTATCTTAAAATGAAACGAAGTAGAAAAAAACGTGGTTGAGAACAACAGCAAAGAAACACTGGCATGGGAAATATTACTGCTTGTGCTGCCAGTCTGTCTCTTCTACAACACTATTTAAATATGTGAATGTATATGTTAACCAGCATTCACTAAAAAGTGAATGACTACATACAGCATAAAAATTATTGGGGAATTATGCATGAACTCATATCAGTCACATTAGTTGGTAAATATTTGGGATGATAATAACAGAAGCATATTTCACCAGCTTTAACTAAATAGCTTGGAAGGAAATTAGTATAAATTGTATTTCTATTTTTTAATTATGATTTTGAGTTGATACAGTTATTTAAAATATTTATAGTCTCACTACAATGCAAAACATCTTCATATGGTGTACAGCATTAAAATGTAAATGCGATAGGATTTATAATAATGCATTAAAACATAGAAATATGATCTCATTCGAACATAGAATCAGGGCAAATTTCAGCAGTATGGTGGGATAAATATTCAAAGTTTGAATACGGCTCCCAAACAATGGAACCTCCAATATTTTCAGTGTAACCCACTCCCTGAAATCCAGAAATTAAATCAATTGTTTCTGTTTCATTTCAACAAAGCATTTGGAATTATAAGAGAAGACAGATGGTAAATGAAGGCATTACTGGTTAGCTTGATTATAATGAAAAATAATAAAATAACGATGATGAAGAAGTTAATAATACTGATGTAAATAGTTCTAGTGATGATGATGATAATGTTGCTGCCGAAAACCGTTGTAATATTATGTTTTTTGTCCAACTTCTTCTGAACTTGTCCCTGCCATTATGGCTTTCAAAATAATATTGAATGGAACTTTCAGACCTAGGAAGTGTGTGTGTGCGTGTGTGTGTGTGTGTGTGTGTGTGTGTGTGTGTGTGTGTATACAGGCACAAACTTTTCCTTTCTTCAATAATCTCTTTTTCTATCTGTGTTAAACTGGAGGCCCTCCATCATGTGCATGCACACCCACCCCAGCTCTACAAAGGGGAAAATATCATAATGCATCACATGATAGCAATGTGATGTGTCGAGTTTGACACCTGTGGGTTAAACAATAAATCAATTGGTTATATTTCTGTTGCCCTTTGCCTTAGCCAGATCCATTTTATTCAGAAACATTCTTCAATATTCCTTACAGATATCTTTTTCTTTTGCATAATGTTCCTTAATCTACCTGAACTCTCACATTGCTGTTTTTCTCAGAAAATTTATGACACTTTATATATCCACAAAAAATCTGAGGGACTTTTAAAGTAATGTGAGTTAAAAACTCATGAGTTTTAATGTGTGAAGCTCTCTTTTACAGTTTCTATGCAGTATAGCAGGTGTTCTTCTAAAGCATTTACATACATAAAATTTTTATTTCAGTGCTGAACCCCAAAATCAATTGGAACCATGTATGGGAGAACAAACTACATTGTTTTGAGTGCCTCTTTGGATTTCAGCCATAGATTAGATAGCAATATTGCTTCATATTCTCCAACTTCCAGCCATTTTCACTCTCTTGTATTGAATTATTTAATTATCCATTGTTTCCATGTTTATTGTGGTTCTAAGCACTGCATTTAGTTTAAAGCAATACCTTCCTAACTTCCTCCCTCCCTTCCCCTTCCCTTCCCTTCCCTTCCCTTCCTTTCCCTTCCCTTCCCTTCCTTCCCCTTCCCTTCCCTTCCCTAGAAGACGAAGACACGTTAATATAATTAATGAGAAAGTGAAAAGGATTGGGCCACATTTAGACATATATGAAGCTTTCAAAAAAGTCCGAAAAGTTCCTACAACGGAAAAAATTGCTTCAGCTGCTACCTATATTCAAAAACTTTTCAAAGGATGGTATGAACGTAGTAAATTGAACAGAATAAAACTGAAGGTAATGTATTTGAATTTCATTAATATGAGATGTTGTGATATACTATAATGGATTATATCTGATATGTTTGCACTACTGTAGCTAGTACCTTGTCCAGCTTGAACAGTAATGATTTATATAAAATAATATTAGTCTCAACATGTGAAAGGTGCAGAGTTGATTTATACAAGAAATAATCCCTATACTCATCTGCATGTCCAATGATTTTTAGAGCCCTTACTAGACAATACTGGGCTATTTGGACAAATAGTCTTGTCTACTAAAAGGTCAGTTTTCTATTTAGCACAAAAATGTCTTGTCCGCAGTCTCAAACTCAATATGGACTTCATTTTACCTATCATCAAGTTGTTATACACAACAATCTATATCTTGCTCCAGCCATACTTTGATTTTCCTGGCTTCTTTTTGTCTTCTGGCTAATTTTGCATTGTAGCCTCTCTACCTCTGCTCTCTCTGCCTCTCTGTCTCTGTCTCTTCTCCTGCTCGAGCAGGGGGTTGGATTAGATGACCTCCAAGGTCCCTTCCAACTCTGTTACTCTATGTCTATGTCTGTCTCTGTCTCTGTCTCTCTCTCTGCCTCTGCCTCTCTCTCTCTGTGTGTGTGTGTGTGTTAAAATAGTATGTGTGTGTGAGAAACCAATACACCTTTGTTGTGTTTTGGTTCTTTTTCTCTTCCACCTTTACAAGTAGGCAGATATTTAGCAAAGTCCAGATGCCTTTTGTTAAAAAACAAAAGTGGGTGGGGGGCTTCTTTGGGACAACCATGACCTGGATGACTGAGAATCTCATAGACATCAAGTATATTCTGCTACCAGATTTTTAACATTTTCATAGAACTTTGGCAGACTTTGATCTTTGCCATAAAATCCTTTAGTCACTAGTGTCAAAATGCAATTATCACAAGGGATTTTTATTTTGTTTTTATGGCAATCTCTGGAAGGTTTTCTTACTTTATGCACCTGTAAAATGCATAATTTTTTACCCTGAAAAAGTTGTTTCTCCCAATAACACTTTACATGTATGTATGTATGTATGTATGTATGTATGTATGTATGTATGTATGTATATGCACAAGTGCACACACACAAACACACACATACACACACACATATATATATGTTTGTAATTACAGGCTAAGAGCCATGGACCAAATATATTAGCTGTTATAAAGGATTATCGTAGAATGATGTTTCGAATTAAACGCTGTTGTGGCATCTTGGATACAAGTACACCCCTAATATTTGAACAACTGGAAGACTGGCTTGACAATAAACTGCGTATGTATTTTTCAGAATAATCTGTTGAGATTATTGTCATATCTCTGTTAATTATTTAAAAAACTATTCAATAGCTTTAATTGAGGTTGCTTGCATTATTTGAAAGGCGTTGTCTTTTTTTTTAGTAGAATTACTAATATAAATGATGTCTTTTGGAAGAGACACCATAGTTTAGTAATAGAGCACATGTTTTCCCTGCAGGAACCCCAAATGTAATCTGTATCATTTTCATTTAAATGTGAAATGTGACTAACTGTTAGATTCTGGGCAGTAAGGATATATCTTGGTAAAATACTATTTTTCTGAGCACTGTGTTGCAAAACTGTGTGTTCTAATGGAGTACTTTATGTTGCTAGCAGCTTTCTGGATTTCAGTACCAAAAAGGTAGACGTTCAGACATCTCCAAACAAAAAGCAAGCGAACAAACAAACCAGAAAGAAGCCTGCTAAAATTCTTTATCTTTTCTCCTTCCTGTACTTCCTTGTCTGAGAAACTTTAGCTGGAACTCCAAAAAAACCTGGGGAAAGTACTGACAAAAGCTAAAATGGCAAGTTGCAAACAAGAAGTGGCAAAAAAAAAACTATTTAGCATCCACTTCAGTCTTAATGTTTTCATTCAGAATTGATGCATTATTTGGCAACATTCTGAGACATTGGCATATCATACTCAACTCACGGCAATGATAACCGAGCATAAGTTTAAACGTTATGCTACTGATGTGGAAGCTAAAGCTAAGCAACCTTTCTAAAGTGTTGTGTCTATGTAATTGAAGAACTGATAGTGGATATATCTTGTAAAATAATCAAGATCTCTCACAACAGAAAAAGAGATCTTACAAGATACATTTAGCAGAGCTGTGCACATTTTGAAAACAGTTAGGAATAAGTATGATGTCAGCACAACACGTGTCTGCTATTCATTTATTCAGCCATACCTTTTTTGAGGTGCCAGTGGCTCTACTCCTTAAAGAAGGATGTATTTTCAGGGTCACTTGGAAGCATGAAAAAGCACTGGACTATTTAATGAGTAGTACCAAGGTACTCTGCTCAGATCAGGTCCAAAGCACGTCTTCGGAATTTTTTTAAAAAGAATCTCAAGTACCAAATGTGGACTGTACATTTGGATCAAATGGCAGAGGAACTATATATTATGTCTTTAAAGTTAAAATATAATACATGTGAATATGATTTAGATATTATGAAATAGTTTTAGTTTAATCTTTCATAGTGATCATAGCAGCACTGGTCTTGATTATCTTACCCACAGAATATAAGAATTCTACAATACAGTTATACAAAATAGATGAGGATAATATTTATCAGTTTGTTACCAACATATGAATGCTAATAAAAAGCTGGAAGATACGCTGATGAAATTTGTGGAAGGATTCCATTTATTAAAGATGGTTGTAATTTATGGAAATAGGCACAGTACAGATCATGAAAAGACTTACTATGTATGTGGCTGTCTTATGTCTTTTTCCTATATATAGTGAAAGCAAATCTTGTATCTGTTTTGCAAATAGGTGTGACAATATCAGTTGTCTTTTAGATATCCTGATTGAGGAAATCCAAAATTTTGAAATATAAAATTTTGGATTGAAAATTCCTATTATAACTATAAATTTGTAGCAGGAAAACTTACCAAGAAGAACAGTTTTGATATGTGTAGTATTCCTGAAGTTGGCTTAATATCTCTCTCATTAAGGATTTTTATTCGGAAGAAACCATGATCCAGTCTCAAATATTTGCGATTGCTTTTACAGAATGAATACTTTCAATAGGAGTTGGACACACACACACACACACTTTTACTTAGATATGATACAGAGACATAATAAATAAAGGCATGTGTGATAAATTGGATGCAAAACTTCAAACAATCCCAATACAATAACAAAACGAGCCTTTTTGATCTATATATTATTTTGTGTCCTAGTTTATGAAACTATATTTCAAAAGAAAGTGGCCTGGAAAGAAATAGATAGAAATGAGATCCCTACGTTTTTCAGAGACTGTGGCCGGTTTCCAACACAAAAGGAAATTAATACTGCAACAACTCTACTATTGAAAGGTAAGAGATTTATACAATCATTCATAGATTGTGTAGAAATATAGAGTATTTTTAGAAAAATGATACTTTGAAAGGGTGCTTCATTTTTTAGTTAATACAAATAAATAAAAAGTGTCTTATTTATTTGCTATTTAAGTTTACTTATTTGAGGAAGTTGTGTAAAAAAACCACCCTCACTCAAGTGACAGCTCCTTAAACACCATAGTTATTTTAAAAACTTTTACCATTTTGATATTTTCATCTTACTCTTCAACACATTATCAAGGCAGCTTACATGAGGTGCAAAATAAAAACATATATGAGCAAGATCCAGATCTTCAAGAGCTGAAATATGAGAATTTTGGAAGCATTCCTAAATATATTTGCATATTTTCCTGTACTACAAACAGAAGGGGACTGTTACACCTTTTCCTTTGATGAGACCTTGAGTAGAAGTTGCTGACATATTCATTTCCATGGCTATGCAATCCTCTGTTTATAAAATGAAGAATATTTTACAATCTATTGTTGCTATGCAAGATCAATTGCTGTATGCTTTCATTAGCTTTATTCAAGTATGGAATGTTTTAGTCATTTATTTCAATTTCACATTTACTGTATTTGTGCTTGTTTATACATTTCTGTTTATTTAGACACTTATAGAGGGTTGATAAATAAAAATTATTATGGTTTCAGTTTATGGGCAAATGGAATAATGGTATTAATAAAAAGAAAACTATATATGAATCTACTTACTTTGCGGCGAGAGTTATAAACTTGTAAGAAATCCAAGAACAAAAATACATTATTAACTAGGCTTAAGGTATATGTTTGTCTGTGTTTGTGTGTCTAAATAGATATAGTGCATTACCCATTAAATTAGTTTTAGGTTCCATATTTGCACATTTGCAGCTGTGAGAGCAATCAACTTATATATCCAAACCAAGTAATATATTTAAATAGGGAAAGAGAGAAAGCTAGTATGGTAATAGTTATAAACTAAGTAATCTACCCAAACTCAAAGTATAAGCACCTCTCCTATAAGTAGATATGCCTTTACACTTTCACTGAGGCAATCAGAAAGCTGCAAGAAAGAGCACTTTTTATCTATCCTTTGTTTTGAAAGTAAGGACTCCCAGGTATGGGCTGAAGTAAACTACTCTATAAAAGGTTGTGAATAGATATAGCAAAATCTAATTCCGGTTGGGTGTTGAACATGCAGTGCAGGGGTGGGCTTCAAAATTTTTAGCAAAGGTTTCTCTGCCTGATTGCTGGGTGGGCGTGGCCATGGTGGGTGTGGCCTAGTCAGCCTCCTGCACCATGGTGGGGGAGGGCATTTTTGCCCTCCCTGGGCTGCGGAGACTTTCCTTGAGCCTCCGGGAGGGTGAAAACGGCCAGTAAAGAGCCCATTTCTGGCCTTCCAGAGCTTCTGGGAGGCCCATTTTCACCCTCTTCAAGCCTCCACGCGCGCCCTGCACTTACCTGCATCCAAAACGGGCCGTGTTGGGAGTCCTGGGAGGGGAGGGGCCAGGCAAAAGTGGGATTTGGGGGTTCTCCGAACTGCACAGAATATTAGCTAGGGGTTCTCCTGAACCCCTGCGAACTCCCAGCAGCCTACACCTGATGCAGAGATACCTCCCCCAAGTCCCATGCTTGGGAGAAACATTCTTTTCCATCCTTTCAAAACCATTTATTTGAGAATTTCACTTAGCAAGCACTCTGTTTGATTTTAGAAGAGCTGCTAAGGGACCTTTCCTTAGCCACACATTTAATATTCATAATTTTAGAGTATGTAGTTTAATTATATTATTAATAGAAGAGAATATATGTAGCTCAGGGTTGAATTGTGGAATCTTTGGTGCTCTCAGAGCTTGGTCGTTTGCTGATAGACATTTCCTTACCTGACTAGGTAACCTAATTATGGAGGTACCTATATTACTTAGCTAATAAAATTTCTGCAAGTAACAACCAAACTTGGGGAGAGCATTAAGGAGTATTATTTTCCTATTTTTGAAATATTGCATTTTTTATTTACTCATATTGTTATTTATTGCTCTGAATGAATGGAAAAGTGAGATAAACATTGCATATACAAAAATGAATAAATAGTTTCTTATAGCCTTTCTGAAGGAACACATGTATAATGCGTAAATGCATTTTCAGTGCAATTTTTAAAAGGTCCTTTAAATGCATTTTCAGTATGATTTTTAAACATTTTTGTTACAAACTAAGCAAACGCATTGGTTTTGAATCCTAATAGTTTTACTTCCACAGTAGGCTCGAAATCCTGCACTTCTGATTGGCCCGCAGTTAGCCGATCATGATTGGTCATCTTTGGCTAATCTGATTGGCTGACAGCGGGTCGCCGCCGATTGGACGCTTCCAGCGCGGCAAACTTGAATCATTGGACATTGTGACAGCAGCCAGCTCTATAAAAGGAGCTGCTGCGGCCCAAGCGTTCTGTTCCTTTTCTGAAGTCACTAATAAAGAGTTGAGTCACTATTCGATGCCTCGTCTCCGTTCCTTGCGCCCACTCCTCCAGATCTAACACTGGCGACGAGGATGGGATGTGGAGACGATAGAGCTGACTGAGCACTCGCTGAGCACCAAACAGAGCACGTGGCTAAGAGCGCACCCGCTAGCGACAGGATGACCAGCAGCGCCATACCACCCGCTCCATTTGACCCGGCTAACGAAGACTGGGACTCGTATATGGACAGGTTCCAGATGTTCCTGGAGACCAACAATCTAAAGATGCTACGCCTGGCAAGAAACGAGCTGTATTCCTGACCCATTGCGGGCCCGCCGTTTTTAAAATAGCAAAAGCACTTGTGAAACCGGCCGAAGTCAAGACAATGGATTGGGACAACCTCGCGCCGATCCTCCGGGCCCATTATGCACCAGCGGTGCCAACACTCATCAGAAGACACGAGTTTTACCAGAGGGACCAACAGAAAGGCAAAAGTGTTGGAGACTTCATCGCTGATCTCAGGAACCTGGCGGGACTTTGTGGCTTCGCAAACCTCGAGGAAGCCATGAGAGACCGAATTGTTCTGGGCCTAGAAGACCCTACGACCCAGAGCAAAATTATGGCGAAGGGGGACATCGGCCTCGCAGATGTCATCGCCGATGCTACTGCAGCAGAAGCAACCAGGAAATCAGCCGCTCGAATGCGCCGAGCAAACGCACCGCACCGCCAACTCGCCAGTGACACTATGCCTTTCTCCGAGAAGCACACAACGACCACCCACCATGAAGACCTCGAATCCTCATCAGAAAGCGAGGAAGAGGAGGTCAACCGCCTCAGGTCAGAACGCAACCAGCGAGACCAGCGGAACCCTAAATCTTCACGACAATGTGCTGGATGCGGGGGTAATCACCCGCGATCAGACTGTAAATTCCTAGACGCACTCTGCCGTTCCTGTGGAAAGAGGGGCCACATCGCAAAAGTATGCAGAAGCAAGCGAGGATCCAGCCCAACCCGAAGAGAATATAATTTCCGGCAGACAACAGGCACCCCACCAATAAATCGGGACCACCTAAACAACCAAGGGAGCCACTACCACTACAGAAATAGAGCACCCGCCAATTCAACTAGACGAGAAGAGACCCATCAAACCATCACCATCGGCCACACTTCACCCCTGGATGCAAGGAAAATCCGAGTGAAGGTCACCATTGCGAATCAACCATGTGTTATGGAGGTCGACTCCGGGTCGTCCTTATCAATGATCTCTTGGAAAACCCTCAAACAGCTGATCCCTGACATCTGTCGCCAGGACCTCAGCACTCAAAAAATCATATTAAAAGACTACCAAGGAAACAGAATCCCAGTTGCCGGTACCAGCCACGTCCAAGTATCTTTCAAAGACCACACTGCAACTCTTCCTCTTACCATCGTCGACTGAGATCGGCCCAGCTTGCTAGGCTTGCAGTGGTTCGCGCCGCTAGGAATTGAACTAGCAGGCATCCACCAGACCGGAAGCGATGACTGGGAAGCGGCCCTCGTCCAGGAATTCCAGGACGTGTTCACCGAGAAACTAGGCAAGTACAAAGGATCCCCCATATCGTTTAATCTCAGCCCTGATGTTGCGCCCATTCGCCTTAAGCCTCGTTGAGTGCCGTTTGCACTCAAGCCAAAGATTGATGAACAATTGGACAAATTAATAGCCCAGGGCGTGTTGGAACCGATTGACCACGCCCGATGGGAGACCCCAATTGTAACCCCCATAAAACCTGATGGATCCTTGAGAATTTGTGGGGACTACCGGGCCACCCTAAATCACGCGCTTCAGCAGAGCGCTTACCCTGTACCTGTGGTCCAACACCTTCTTCATTCCTTGGGAGGTGGAAAAATATTTGCAAAATTGGACCTAGCCCAGGCGTACCAGCAGCTGCCCGTAGATGCATAGACTGCAGAAGCCCAGACTATAGTCATGCACAGGGGTGCATTCAAGTGTAATAGACTCCAGTTCGGAGTGAGTGTAGCACCGGGCATTTTCCAAAGTCTGATGGAGAGACTGTTACAGGGCATAAAAGGGGTTGTGCCCTACTTCGATGATGTCTTGATAGCTGCCCCCATGAGAAGCCTATTAGAAAAACGACTCAGAATGGTTCTCCAGAAATTCAAAGACGCTGGCCTGAAGGTCAAAAAGGACAAGTGCCAACTATGTACTGAGACGGTTGAATTCCTTGGGTACCTTCTTGACAAACAGGGAATTCACCCTACTGAGAAAAAACTAGCTGCCATAAAAAACTCCCCAAGACCTAGGAATAAAACAGATCTCCAAGCCTTCCTGGGACTCATTAATTTTTATAACATCTTCTTGCCCCAGAAAGCAACCGTTGCTGAACCCCTGCATAGGCTCCTCAACAAGAAGGCGTCCTGGATCTGGGGACACCGGGAAGAATGAGCCTTTCAGCAAGTTAAAGACCTTTTAACTTCAGATGCTGTATTAATGCAATATAACGAGACTTTACCTTTAACTGTCACCTGCGATGCCTCACTGTTTGGAGTAGGA